ATACACAATATGTGTAAGCTTCGAATGCACGTACATGGTTCATTGGGTTGTATATGTATCAGTAGTACATTGTTCTGCATGGTGTATCTCTTCGTATCTCCCTCTTCGTCTTCTTTTCTCTCACGACATAAACCGTGTTCATTATATGTGTTTGTGTGGCATGTTTGCTCTACTTGAACGTAGTGTGTTATGACGCAAGAGAAACGAAGTGGAAGGAGAGGAACGCAAGTCATACATACGAATACAAATACACAGTGTGTATTACACACACGATTCGTACACACTCTGGACTATATTACATACATGTGTACCGCTTGTGTGTCGCGTAAAACGTCTTTGAATGTATTGTAAATATGAACAATGAACAAATGAACATGCACAACGTTCGACGTATGTGAGTGAAAAAATTGTGTGTTCGATGGTTTGCGTTTGAGTCAAACTAATGGAGCATATTTATCAAAAGTAACAGAAATGTATTTGCGTTGCCAAAAATGTTTCACACTTTTCGACTTTGATTCCAAAAATATTTATTGCAGCCCGTCTAAACAATTATATAAAATCAGATGAAACTTAACCATGAATATGAAATTCCATTTGGGATTTTAATTATTTTGCCTTGACCTTTCCTTTTACAAAGAAAAAAATTGAATGTGATGCAACAAAGTATAAAGTATTTGCATAACGTCTGAATTTGATGTATTTCTGTTAAATTCTGCATGACAAATAATCATGAAAGAACATTTCTGTGATTTTTTTCAAATTTTATTCAATTAAAAACACATTTTTTCCATTTAATTCTGCAAAATTATCAATGTTCATAAAATGATGAATAATTTGCAACAATGTCAAAGGGAAATTTATTCAATTAAATGTACGTTTATTAGCGCGGTTTTTAGCGTGGCGAAAAAATTCCTGGAGCCATGCATCGTGCCTGATGACGGTGTATGATGCATCGGCTCTATGCATTATTTTGTAAATCAGTCGTATAATCTCGGGATATTTTTTGAAGCCTGGTTTTGCTGGGATTCCGCGGTTTTTTGAAATGCCCGTGAACGAAAACATCGCCAAAAAATGTTCGTCGAAACAGTGTTCCATCACATAGTTCCCTACTGTTTTGTGACACTCCTCTCCTGTTGTGCCTCCAATGTTTGAAATTAGCGATTTCAACTTGCAAACAATGAGAAAATTCAAAAATAAGGCTTCTGGTAGAAAAATTCAAATCACCATTACATTTTGACAAATTTAAATTAGTTTAACTTACTAATTCCTTTCGAAATGATATATCATTTTTTAGCCTTCCTTCAAAAGTATTCATTTCGGTGAATGTTTTGATCGGAAAAAATTCATCATCGCCAAACATTGAATCTGTTGTGAGCCTTCTCTGTGGCCTTTTTTACGACACCGTGAAAGCTTCTAACGTTTCTTTTAGATTTTTCACCTCTTGCTCGAGAAGTGCAAACTTTTCGTGCGATATATTTTCACTCATGTTTGTCAAATGATTCACAAATTCGATTTCAAATTCACCCATCAACGATTACTAGGTTTGAACGATTTAGTGAGCTGATTTGTGTTTCAACGACAATTTTTTGGCAATGTTTTCGTTGACGGGCATTTCAAAAAACCGCGGAATCCCAGCAAAACCAGGCTTCAAAAAATATCCCGAGATTATACGACTGATTTACAAAATAATGCATAGAGCCAATGCTTTCAATATTACTGGGCAAAACTGATGAACGAACTCAGTTCTTCTGAATCTTGTGGCTCTTTATATATACGGAACGATGAGTTTGGTTATTTTATGATGAAAACTAGGGGTTTTCTTGTTATTAAAATTGAACGAATCGAACTGCTGTATTGCAATTTTTTACGTATGTTCGGAGATGCTGCTTCTCGAGCAGATAGTTTCCCCTAGAATAAATGTTCGACCTTGTGTTGAAACAAACCGGTCAATGGTGTTGAAATCCTGTTTCAAAATTAATTGAATATATCATATGAAGAAGAGACGAAACGATTGCGCGAATATCAGATATGATCAAATTCATTTAAACCAAACACACAAAAAATATAGTAAGTAAAATGCGTCTTTTGTGATATCATATAAGAAAAATGCTCGAAGAGCATTGCTCTTATGGTTGACGATTTATGACAATGATTCACCTCCATTCATGTCTACAAAACGATCCCGGATGTGGGAATTGTGCCTTAAAAACACTCTCAAATCCACAAAGGGGAAAAACAAACTACTTAACTGAAATCGAACAAAGAGATTAAAAAAGAGCTCTTCAACCATTTAAATTATGATAAATAAGTTTTCAATTCATGCACTTGCTGCTGTTTTCAAACTGCTCATTTTGAATTGCTGCAAGGATTTGTTCGATACATATTTCTATCGAAAAAAAATTATCGAGAGAGAAAGATTATTTAAATGACACAATAAGAATCATGATCACCTAGTTTTTTCTGTCTGTTTTTTTTCCTATATTCGACTATAAAGTTATCCATACAATCAAAACAAATATTTTTCAACCGCCCTTTTGTGTCATCTGAAACACGCCATTCAAGGAATATTCGGAAGTAATTATGGAAGGAATACCATCACCATCATGTTCATGGCAACAGCCACATGAGGTAAAAAGCAATGTGAATTTTACTAATTCGAAAAAAGAACTAGAAATCTCAGTGCCTTTCAATTAGATCTATTCCTATGTGTTTCAATCTTTTAGTCCATAGCTTGTAAAGCGATGTCTATTTCTTCGTATTTTACCATTTATTTTTAATAATCGTGTTATCGTGTTATGATGTTGTCTATAGTGCGAAGTTTTTTTGTCTATCAAGTGAAGAAGAAATCATTCATTTCATTGAGTAAATTCGACTTTTTTCATATAATATTTTAATTTTGAGCCAATTTTTCTTGAAAAAAATATCTTCAACTCGAATTGAACGCCAAAAAATGTCACTTATATAAAAATATAGCCTTTGAAAAATCTGACAAAATGAGTAAAACATGTATCAATTTATTTTTTTTGTCTCGTTACAAAGAGAAATCCTGTTTATCATTATTTGATTGGAGATTGTATTGAGACTTTTGGAGACAAACTTCCGACTGAAATGGATGTTATTAAACTTTCTTGCTCCGGATGGAATTCAAATGAAACGGAAAATGAAAAAATATCAAATGTCGTGGAAGCTATTAAAATCTCTTGGAATCGGGTAGGTTTACCTTTAAGAAGTAAACCGAGTATTCGCTTGAAAGTCAAAAACCTCATCACAAATTTCAAGAGAATAGTGTCAAGTCGAACGAAAGGTAGTGACTCCCAAAAAGAGAAAGAAAATAACTTTTTAGAGAAAAGCAAACATTTGTTCGACATTATTGAACAAAATTCAGAGAGCAAATTGAATGCCATCAAAAAAAAATTTTTGTATGATCAACGGGCCGATCGCCGTATGACATTTTTTGATTTGAATTTAAATGAGGATGATGGTGACCTGAACTTGGAATGTGCAAATAATGGGGTCGAAATATGGTCTGAATCAGAATACGGTTGCAGCGAAAGCGAGTCTAGTTATCAACCCTCGAGCTCGAGTGATGAAGATGAACATGAATACTCTACGCCGAAAAAGAAACTCAAAACCAATACAATCAAGGCGATGGACGATGCTGGCCTCAGTTTTAGGCAAATGGAAATAGTTTCGAAAGCATTTGTAAAAGAATTCAATGCAAATCCCAAAGACTTTTGCTTAGCTGCTTCCACTTTCCATGCAAATTCCACACGAATTCGCCATGATACTGTTGAAAATATTTCAGAGGAAGTGAAGCGTCGCAATTCAAAAGGAGTTCTTCTCTTCGATTCAAAAACATTTCATGAACTGAATGCAGCTCATTTATCGAAAAGAAAGCGACTGGCATCAGTTCTATACAATGAGGGAATGCATGTCGGTCTTGGAATCAATGTGATTGAGAATGGATCAGCGGATACTATAAGCCACAGTTTATATGATGTAATTGTTGAATTTAACCTGTTGGATCGGATTATAGGCCTATTGTGTGATGCCGAAAATGCAAATGTTGGTTACTATGGAGGAGCATGCGCTAAATTTGAAGAGCAAGTTCGAAAGCCACTACTTCAAATATGTTGTCGCCATCATATAATGGAACTGATTCTTAAGAAAGTTTGCTATAAACTTCTCGACAAAGGTAACACGCCGGGCTTTAGTTTCAAGGGATCACATGAAATCAACATCAACTGGAATCAGATAAATAAGCGGAACTATCGGCCTCTAGTTGATGAGAATTTCGCAGATTCCTCACTTTTGCGCCGATTAAGAGAACAATCTATTGAACAAATCAAAAGTAATACCGATACTCCAGTCAGAGATGATTACGCTGAGCTGAATGATATTTGCCTGAAACTGCTAAATACTGAAACTACAAAAACCATTAGAGTACTAGGGGCAATTAGTAAGGCGAGATGGATTGCAAAAGCTCTCTTAATCGGAAAAACTTACCTATTCCGGGAATATTTGAACTTGGATGAGCCTACATTGGTAGCATTAGAGCGAATCTGTGTTTTCATTTCACATCTTTATGTTAAGTTTTGGAATCGAGCACCGAATGTAACAAATGCTGCAATGAATGACTTATTATTCATGCAACAGCTAGAAATGTACCGAGAATATGACGAAGAAGTTGCTCAAACTGCAATTAATGGTTTTAAAGAGCATTTATGGTACCTTGGAGGAGAATTGGTGACTCTTTCTCTTTTTTCAAACCACATTTCGATAGAGACAAAAAACAAGATTCGTCATCAAATAACAAGAAATATAGGGGAAAGAAGTATCCATTCTTTGAAGTTTAGAATGGAGGAGACGACTCAGTTTGTTGACATGAATTTGGAAGACTTCGTCGATTCAAGATCTTTTTTCCTCTTTTCATTGCTTGATACAACAGCTGATTTTTTGCAACAAGATGCCGCAACATGGAGTCACACAACATCGTATGAAACCATTAAGAAAGTAGTTGAAGAAACTATAATTGTCACCAATGATGGAGCAGAAAGAATGCTTGGACAGGCAGACAGAATTATAAAAAGGCAAAAAGCTAGAAAAGAGAAAAACTTCAAAAATTTACTGTTCGCAAAGTTTGATCAACATAAGCGTGAATAAATTATTGTAACATTGATACAAATATACTTTTCTGTTCTTGTGAGGAATATTATATGAATTAGAGTGCCATAACGCAGGTAAATATCGATGTTAAATCGATATTCAACTGATTTATCGAAATTTAATTGATTTTTGATCAAAGTCCCTTCTATGATATTGAATCGATTAAAAATCGATTATTTTTCGGTTGATATACAAAGATGTTTGGTCGGAGTACCGACCATATATTTTTTCTTCTTTTCCACTCCAAATGGCATGTATATTTCTGCTACTCTTATTTTTTTTCGAAAATTTGTACACCCTAAGTGCAGTGTATCGTATGCATTGTCCAAACGGATCTTGAACAGCGGCGTCGGAAATTTGGCATAAATATCTCCAATGGCATTGACTTTGGTTCCAGCTTTGATACATCCATTTGCGTGCAAAGTTCCGTCCATTGCAAAAACCAAGCAATATGAACATTTTTGCAAGTAATTTGGCACTAAGCACCGTTTGAATAGGTGCATTCGTCGATTCATTGACACAGCCATTGCCAATTCAATTGAACTAAAACAAACAAAAGTTGATGATGAAAAAAAACTATTCAAGCCACTCTCCGTGTTTGTTTTAGTTCTGTTAAAATTACCTTGAGCTTTGTCAAATCGAATGTCGAGTTTCTAGCCTTTTTCTGAACAAAAATATACGAATTCAAATTAAATTGGAACAAAAAATATTGTGAAATCACACAGAATGCGTCGTTTTGTAAATATGTCTTTAAAGCGTATACAGAAATGTCAGAACACCAAACAGTCATTGAAACATTGTAAATCCACCGCAAAGTCCTTTCGCGTATAGTCTTTATAGCTTGTTATAGCACGTTCCATACTATGCGTTTACAATGTTTCAATGGTGACATTTCTGTACATGCTTTAGAGACATATTTCCATGCGCACTAAATAGACTATGCGGTGGGTTTACAATGTTTCAATGACTGTTTGGTGTTCTGACATTTCTGTATACGCTTTAGAGACATATTTCAAAAACGACGCATTCTGTGTGATTGTCGGCTTGATGATTCTTTTGCTTTGTTAAGAAATTTCGCAAACTCTGAATAGAAAGAATGATTCTTTAAGAAGCAAATGCTTTAAATGCTATTTTAATGATTTGAAATTGGTACCTCTGCCACGATTTCAACTTTGTTTCGCGTAACCTTCAAATCTCGGTTTCGCCACCCCACGAATTTTTTCAGCCACCCCAAAAATCATTGTCATCTCAAAAATCAAAATGCGGAATAAAATCATCCTAATGAATTCATTTAGAGAGCCGAAAGTGAAATGCTTGAATATGAATAATCGTGAAGCAAATATAATTCATGGAATTGAAATTAGAATGAGTTGCATTACGTTCTTCAATAGTATTAGTAAACACGAAAAAACAGCCGAACGATACACTTCCAAACGAATTGCCGAACGACTTCTGAATTTTGTTTTATTTCATCTTCTATAATGACTTGATATTGAGACCTATAAAATCATTCTCGATATGCTTTTGTTTATAACGAATATTTATCGTCTGCGACATTTATTGTTTAAATATATTGCACGCCA